TTATTCATTTTGTTGTTTTTAAACGTTCTGTATTGAGTTGTTCCTAATACCATATCGAAAGGGAGATTATCTGAGAGATTAACATAGAGTTTATTTCTTTCCTTACATAAATTATAATCTAATTTGGGTTGTGCTAGTGTCATATTAAATTAAAATTTTTATAAAAATATCCCGGTGGGAAATTAGCTAGCGACTAGCGAGCGACAAGCTAGGTTTATAGCAATTTTCTAGCGTTTTTTTTTTTCTTTTTTTTTCCTAATGTCTTTAACATCTTTGAAAATTGAATTTTTATTGTTGAGTCTATTATTATTATGAGAAAAACTAAACTTTAAACATTGCGATTTTGATGCAATGTGTGGCTAGCTACATATCGTAGTTTTGTAGGTAGCTACACAATATCTACAAATCTATAGCAGGTTGATGGCTACATATCAAAACTCTTTAGACAATGATTTTATTACGATATGACGCTAGCTACAAAAGCCTGTGGGTTTTCAGCTTAATAAGCTAGCTGTCTTCGTAGCCAAATTGCTGTCTTTATCTTTACAAATCTCGATAGCTGATCGCTAACTTAAAAAAGCAACCAATACTCTTGGCTAAATCGCTGTCTTTATCGTTACGATTACAGCTAGCTAATCGCTAGCCAATTTCCCACCAAGTATAGAAAGTAAAAAAATTACTTTTGAAGATTATGTTAAAAATGATAGAAATTAAATGAAAATAAAGAAAATAAAGAAATCAAGGCAGGCTTAGAGATCTTATCATGAGAACCGTTAAAGTTGGATGCGTCGATAAAAAGTTGCTATGAACTCATACAAATTAGTTTTATGATAATAAAAATAGCATTTAAAGTTTTTATTAAATGAATTTGAAATATGGTAAGCTCCACACTTAATTTTTTTTTTTGGATGTATATTTTTTGAATCTTCTTTTCAGTATATCAAAGTTGCCTTGTCGAATTTTTTTAATTTTCAAAATACTTATATTTTCTCAAGCATTGTAAAACAGTTCAGTAAGTGCATTATTACGTAAAATAATCTATACATTACTACTATACACACATGATTATATATATGTATATATATATATATATATATATATATATATATATATATATATATATATATATATATATATATATATATATATAAATATATATATATATATATATATATAATTACTATACTCTACACGGTATAATGTTAACCAATTCTTGACATATTATATGATAATTAAAGCGTTATAATATGACATATTATAGCGCGTTTTGCAAATGGGCTTCTCATATATTTTAAGTATTTAAATATTATTTTAAACATTTTTTAAATAAACTTCAATTTATTTTAAATGTTAAACATTCAAAAAAATAATTATCAGAGACAATAAAAAAAAAACAACAACAAATCAGATTTTTTATACTTTGAATAAATGGTCCAAACATAAATAGTATTTAACAATTTAGGCAAAAAAATTTAATTGATCATTGAACATAAATGCAAAATTGACTTTTATAATGTTCTGATTTTTGATATAATTCCTAATATTTGAAAAGGTTCCTGATCTTTTTAATAGTTTTTAGTGGATTTTATAGTTGGTGTTTATTATTATCCTTGGTGTGTTCTTTAGTTCTTGGTGCTTTCTATAGTTCTTAGTATTTTCTATAATTCTAGGTGTTATGTGATTTATCTTAAAAATTTTGTCATAAGGAGTTTTGATTTTAACTAAAATATTTTAATAAGTTTAGAAGTCATAACATTTAAAAGTTGAGAGTTTAAATTATTTAAAACATTTAATTAGAAGTCATATATAAATTCCAATCATTTTGATGCAAGGTTAAAAAAGAGTAAAGTTCAAGTTAGATCTTTAAAAGTTTTAAATTAGATTTTGAGTTCAAAAACAGAAATACTTTCAACAACAAAAAAAAAGTTGTTTAAGTTTATTTAATTAGTTTAATTTAGTTATTAAAGTCTAAATTCTCAATAAGGACGACAGATGTCAGCCAAAGATCATTTGTTAATTTAAATGATTAAGCTGTTGGTCCAAGTAAATAAGTTATTTCAGGTGATAAAGTAAGGAGTTCTTAAGGATGTTATTCAGTAAGGCTATTGTATTGGAGAAAATATTAGATACTTGGAAATCAAAGTTTTGTAAATGAAAATAACGTGTATATATAATGTGATTAATCTAATAAAATTACGTCACATCAGTCATGTCAGCCCATCTAGTCACCATTTGAACATTTATATAATATTGTTGAAAATAATATATTAACATAGCTGTTCCTATTCCACTCAATCCTGCAAATAACTTCACCCAATGTCAATGTGCTACAATGGTAAAGTATTATTAAGAGTTCTCTTCTAATACTTTTTATTAGTTAGTATGGCGCATCAAACCTAGAATCTCTTGGTGCAGAGGCAGAACACTTATTACTGCGTCACGGCTGTTTGATATAATGAAAAGTCAGCTAGAAACAACTTTAAAATGCTATTCCTTTTTTCATTCCCCTCTCACATTCCGTTTTCGCATTTCCTATATTTCCCTAAGTAAAGTTTTGAAGTTGATTTAAAAAATAAATAAATTAACAAACCTTGTAATAGAAACAAAAAATCTTTTTATTGATTGTTTAGTTAAAAAGAAAAGAAAAGATCTTTCTATTAATTGTTCAGTTAAAAGGAAATGAAAAGATCTTTTTATTGATTGTTCAGTTAAAAAGAAAAAAAAAGATCTTTTTATTGATTGTTCAGTTAAAAAGAAAAGATATGATCTTTTTATTGATTGTTCAGTTAAAAAGAAAAGAAAAGATATTTTCATTGCTGGTTTAGTTAAAAAGAAAAGATCTTTTTACGTTCAGTTTGAAAGAAATAAAATAAGATTGCTTAATTTTATATTGTACCATAAAAACCACAAAAAATTTATGGATTAATGAAATAAAACTAAGCTGATGGACAAAAGTCAAAATTAAATGATGCAGTTTCCCATTTGTTTCAAGTTATATATACAATTACTTTAAAATATTATTCCATTTTAAGGTTATTGTTTACTAATAAAATTTATAGAAAAGAAATTAAACAACGTATCACACCCTGACTACGTTCACAGTTTATTTTGTTTCAACAAAACTTAAACAAAAAGTAAATGAGGAGTTTAGACGCGGCGATAGATTAGTCAACCCTTGTTTATGATTATTACTTGATTAGTCAACCCTTGTTTATTATTATTACTTGATTAGTCAACCCTTGTTTATTACTTGATTAGTCAAGTAATAATAATAAATAACTACAAGTTTAGAATAACTTGTTGTTGTTTTCTATAATTACTTATTTTATTAAATAACTCTTCAATCAAATATTTTCATAATTTTTATCAAGTGATTACTTGGATGATCCTTTACCAAATCCATAATACACTCATATTAGAATACGAAAAGAATTATAATAAGGCCTTTGCAAAAGGTTCAAAATTACTTTAAATAAAAGTGGCTATTAAACTTTGGAATTACGTAGAAAGTTCTTCAAATTAAAAAAAATATATACAAAAAAATTACAGTTGTGAGCATGAAAATAGCAGAACTTGGAGTTTTTTAAATACTATTTAAGCAATTTTTTTTCACTAATTACTAAATAAATTTTATTATGTTTATTTTGACACTTAAATTTTATAGAATAAAAAATATCATATCAATAATAGTTTTGCATTTTATTTCAGAAAGAAAACAATAATTTTAAAAAATTAAATATTAAAAAAAAAAATGTTTCAACATTAAAAAGTTAAAAATAGGTATAAAACAGTAGTATTTATACTTTACATTTTGTTGCAAAACTTTTGTTTGAATAAAGACTTTGCAACGCCGAAGCATTGAGTCAACAAGGTGTTGACATTTTTATAAGGGTGTTTCGTACCATGTTTGTTGAATAGCTATCCATAACTGCTGGTCAATAGTTGACTTAGCTCCAGAAACTGCTTTTATAACAAAGCAGCCCATTCTGTAACCTTAAACCCATTGACCTGAAACCACTTTTTTGGCTTGCGGCTAGTGTGTTTCAGGTCGTTGTCTTATTGGAAGACCCATTTTGACAGCATATCTTTAATAGCAAACAGAAGCATGACATTATTAAGGATGTTAACATATATATGATACCATTAATCTTATAAATGATGCCATTATATGATACCATTAATCTTATAAATGTATGAAAACATATATACATATATGACACCATTATTTTTATGAATATATATGATACCATTAATTTTATAAATAGGGTTGACACCATTATATGAGAAGCAGCCCCATACCATCACTGGCACCACAGAATTTCATTACAAAAATCTCTTTAAATTTTATAAACTAACTTTAAAATCAATACAACCACTGCTATTTTAATGCATTCCCTCAACTACAATAATTTTTTTAAAATTAATAGTATTCTAGGGTGTATTGAATTCTCATATGCTCAATTTACTTATCTCATTCTTGTATATACACACATAAAAACTAGTCATTCTAAATTATACAGGAGGAAAACAGCAATGAAGGAGAGTTACAATAAAAGTATGAAAAATCTTTTAGTACTGCTATTTTCATGCTCACAGCTGTTTATAACATATACATACTGTGTATAATATACATACAATATAACAAATTTATCAAGAGAATAAACCCTTCAAAATGAAACTAATTATACGTCTATAAACGGGTTTTAAAGTTATTTTTTCAAAAATTAAAAAAGAATACTTTAGATCAATTATTGAATTACTCAAACTAATCTAAAAGAGCATGATGTGCAAGTAAAGATGTCACTTGTAAAAATAATCCAGACAGAAATATCATTTAAAATATTTTTAAAGTTAAAAATAGTTTTTTTACAAAATCTTAGTGGCTGAAGGCCGTAATGAATTAACCTTCTTAAACAATAAAATATTTTCTTTTTTAAATTAACTTTTATTAATACTTTATTTTTATTAAAAATATTGTTATGTTTTTCTGACAAAATTACCTTCTTAATTAGTAAAAACATTGAACCAAACAATATATCTTATGACAAGTTAAACGATAAAACTAAACAATATTACTTTTGAACCTTCTATATATAAAAGAATAATGAAAGTTCAACACAACAGTTCAAAAACAAACTAAAAAACAATGTAGGCTGGAACCTAATATTATAATCAAGTAATGCAAACAATGTCTATAAACTATTTTTTTGTCAATATTGTAAACATTATGAAAAACAAATAAAACATTAGTTTTAACTCGTCTTATGAAAATAAACAAAGCTTTGAAAATAAAAAAAACTCGCTTTATGAATTTAAAGAAAAACTTATAAGATAAATTCTTGAAACAATTAAATAAAACTTAAAAAATTAATAACTTGCAAAAGATATAAAGACTTCGAGAGGTAGATCAAGAAATAAAATAAATTTTCTCAAAATATTTTTATTATTCAATTTGTTGTTGAAAAAAAAAAAAAAAAAGTAATTCATACGTTAAAAAAACATGTAATGCCTATAAAAATTTAGTTGATACTCATAATTTTACAAAAAGCAACATACCACAACTGAACATGCATAAAAAAAATTTTGTTAGCAAATTACTTTGCATCAAATAATTCTAAAGGAACAGTTTCAAGCGCAGCGGAGACACAACAGCTTTTGCTTCAAATTGTTGAAAGTCACATTTTACATAAATTTTAACATCGCATATTAAATAGTTTGACTGAATGTGGTATTAGATTTTTTATCATTTAACTAATTATTTTTTTATTTAAGATTTTATAGTATTTACAAGCCTCTATATTTGATTAGGTTTTTACTATGCAACAATTAAGTTCATTTTTTTTAATACTTAAGACGTAATAACTTCAAATCGTTTGAAATAAAATTTTGCATTTGTTTTATAATCGAATAATAAATAACCCCATGATTGGTTAGGATTTTATCATGCAACAAGGGTAGTCTTCTGGTTTTTTAGGCTTTTTACCAGGTAAAATGGGTAACTGGTCCCCATTCCCACTGGGAACCAGTTAGGATTGAAGTTTAAAAGCCTATTGGTAAATTTTAAGTAGCTCGTTACATTAACAACAAAAGAAATATTTTTATAACTTTGTAATAACAGCCTCCATTTTATACAAGCCACAAATGGTTGTAGGTAGCTTAAATTTCTTTTATGTTGTCAAGGTTAATAAAATTAAATTATTAAGTTAATTGGTTTCTTGTAATAAGTTATTTTATTACATTTTTTTTAGTGCTCTACATGAAAATCGATGATGGAAACTTATAGCATATAACTTTTGTAAGTTGTATGCTTCAAGTTATTGATTGATTTGAAATATATTTTTGTTTTGAATACAAATTTTGAGTAGTAAAACTAAAATTAGATTTCTTTTGTCGTGTAGTAAATTAAGAACTTGAGTAGTCAAACTTGTTTGAATGTTTTAAAGAGTTGTAAACGAACATAGAATGTTAGACCAAATATATTAGTTATTGAGAATAAATTTATTTACAAAATAAATTTGATATAATTTAAAAAACTAAACTTAAATTACCTTAATATACTAATATATTAAATTAATATAATTTAATATATTAATATTTTCGAAACGGTTTTATGGCAATAAATATACTTCTTTTTGACTTGATACATCAAACTTTTGTGACTTATATCATCAACTTTTTTGACTTATCTCATCAAACTTTCAAATTCTGATTTTTTTTTTTAATTTTTTTTAAATTTGAGTCTTCTTTTTTTTGGATTTTAATTGTTTGACCACGGGTTTTTTTCCTAAAAAGGTTTTTTTTGATTTTCTGTTTAAGTTATAGCAATAATTAATACAAAGTAACATTTAGCCAAGCAGTAGTTTGCTATAAGAACTTTTTTCAAATTTCTTATTTAAAAATGATAAAAGCAATTTTGAGACCTCATCACCACCTTCATCACCACCTATTAATCACCACCTATTATATAAAACTAATGTTTTAGTATGTAGGAAGTGTTTTGTTTGAGTGATGATTTTTATTTGACGTTTTATTTGTTGTAATTTTATAGGGTAGAGCGGGGCTAATCGGGACAGTGGAAAATAACGGAACAGTTACGCTAGAAGCATCTTAGCTAAAAATTATATCTTAGCTAAAAATTATTTTTACGATTTATTTTTATAATAAAACATTGCAAATTATTATAATTCATTATTGTAAATAAAAAATTATTGTAAATTAGAGGCTTTATATCCAAATTTTGTGTTTCTTGATTATTTTTAATAAACATTCATAAGAGTATGTGTCCAATAAATCTAATTTTAACAATGGTGCAACTTTTAAAAGTATTTTAAAAAATAGTCGGACATTTTGGCAGTTAGTCACAACAAAATAAGTTTGAAAATTTTATTTTCTCGGAAATACAAAAAATGGATATACGGCCTCAAGGTTATCGACTGACGAAATACCAAAAAGCATTAAAAGTACCAAATGCATCAGTGACTTTGCAAAAAACAAAGTTTGCGCATTTTCTTGAGCGATGCAACGACAAAAAGTTTATCTTGAACTAATGCTAATTTGCTTTATTTATAAAAAATTTATATTTTTCAGACTGACCTTTTTATCTTATATAAAATATCTTGAATTGAACTTTTCAAATAGTATTAATTTCAGTAAAATTTATATATAAAAGAAATTGTTATTTCTATGACTAAACTATTAACTATTATTTGTGTAAACAAAGATGGTAGCAAATTAGTTTCAGTGTTTGCTGTAAGTAAAAAGGAACTTAGAATTATAAAAGATGTCGATACATATGGCATATTTAAATGTGCCCTGCCTTGGCATATTCTAAAAAGCCAGCTCATCAAAAATGTTGCCAAACAGTTTCTGTTTTTTTTTTGGTGTGATTTATGTAATATATTCTTTGTTTAGTTTTAAATTTAGTATTAGTTACCAATTTAATAGTATATACTAGTTTAATTTAGTAGTATATACTAGTTTTTTTCTACTTAATTTTTAGAACAATTTCTTAGGTTTGTTTGTTTAAAAGTTTTTTATAATAAAATACAAAAAGTTTTTTTTAATTTTATTTTTATTTCTCTTTTGTGCGCTATGGGTATATGGGCAGGTAATTTGAAGGGTTTGATACTTATTTGAGAGTTTGATGCCTAAACATGTTTAAATTATAAAATGCCCTAATTTTTTATCATTTCTAAAGCTTTAAATAGCTGTGGATTTTTAACTGTCCCATTTTGGTCCGCCCACTTGCAAAATGATCTGGTAATGTAAAAACTTTTTTAGAGTTTTGTTACTTCGGTTGCCGTAGCTTATTTTTAGAATTTTTTTTTCGCGTTTTCGTTTTTTTTAAAGAAATAATTTTTAAAAAATTTATAAAAACAGTGTTAACTATTAACTTAAATATTTTTGATGTAAAAAAGTATTTTATTTATTTTATCTAACATAGTAAAAACATTGCTTTAAAGTTAAAACTCAAAAAAATGGGAACTTTTCATTCAATTTCTAAACTCTGAAAGCAATTATGAATTAAATAATATAATAAATGAAATACAAACATATAATAGTAGGTACTATTTTTTTCATATTAACCTAAAATTTATCAGGTTTACTTGAACCATTTAATGACATGTTTTTTATAATTTTTAAGCTAGACCTGGACATGTCAGCCAATGCATTTATTTATTTTTTTTAGCGTTTTATATTTTGTTTAATTTTTTTATAATAAAGGTTGACAAGACCCTAAACTAATAATATATATTATTATTAGATTTCTTAATTAGATTTTAATATAATACAAACTGTTTTTTTTTTAGGTTATTTCTGATGGGCCAGGATGCTCCCATATTGGGGTAATTTGGCCCAGGAAAATTAAACGCCAAAAAAATTTAATTCAACTAAAATATATTTTCTTTTTTTTTCATTATTTCGTGTTTTATTTTTTTGATTAAAACACTACTTTCTTGAAATTTGAGATATGCAGAGCCATTTTAGTATAAATTTTTTTCTTTAATTAAGTGATTTGAAAACTTTTTTATTATTAGGAGGTTTGCAAACCTAATTCTTTAATTAAATTTATTTACATTTTTAGTTAATTATTTTTAAGTAGTATTTAATTAGTAAATCTTTAATTAAATTTATTTAACTCATTATTTAACCTAATTTTGTTTTTTGCATTTAAAACATTTCAAATATTTCATTTTTTGGAAAGAGAACTGAATTATTTCCAACTTTCACCTAAATTACCAATTTAGTCTTTAAATAAACTCGAATTTTGCTAACATAACTCTATGGCTTTATCCTGCCTCGGTCTACTCTATATCCCGCTGTTTTATTGAAATATGCCAAATTAGAGTATACCTACAGCTCTTACCCAGTGGGCACGAACGTATAAAAGACGCCTTTTAAACGTCTTATACACGTTTTAGACGTTTTTTGAACGTTTTGGACGTTTTTTGAACGTTCAAAAGACGTCTTTTTTTGGTCCGGTGCCCACTGGGTAAACGTTAATAACTACAAACACTAAAAAAAAAAAAAAAAAAAAAAACATTAGTACGGTTATAACTTTTGAGTAAACTTTTTTAAAGTTAAAAAAATACAGAATAATATAAATAAAAAATATGATATATTAAGTAATGCTAGAAAAACTTAAAACTTTGTTTTGAGTAATTTATAGATTGCATTCATATTACCAGATTTTTAGTGAAATATTAAAAAGAATATATAGAAAAAACAGAAAATAATAAAACAAAAATTTTTTCAAAAAAAAAAAAAAAAAAAAATTTTTCAAAAAAAAAACAACAAAAATTTTTTCAAAAAAAAAAACAACAAAAATTTTTTCAAAAAAAAAACAACAAAAATTTTTTCAAAAAAAAAAAAAGTTGTGTTATTTTTGTTTTGGTGTAGATTGTAACAAAGACAAACACATATTTTGTTTTGGTGTAAATTGAAATTTAAAAGCAGATATTTAACTTTTTTGAAATAATTAATTTTCATGATAACAAAGTACTATTTATAAATAGATATAATGAAGATTCATAAATAAGAATATACCTTTAAATTATTCCTATTTAAAGAAAATATACAGTGAGTTAAGAGAAAACAAGTTATTAAAAAAAGTATATTAGAATAATAACGGTAAAATTATTGATAT